TTTTGATACAACCCAACCAGTTAACTGTGCAGTCTCTAATATTATCTGCTCCATCGTCTATGGCAGCAGATTTGAATATAATGATCCAGAGTTTATACTTCTGATAAAGCGAACATCCAGAATTGTTAGACTTGGTGGAAGTCCCTCAATACAGGTATTAATTGCTACTTTTTGAACTATATTCACTGACAGTATTATTTATTTTGCTGTGCATAAAGCATTACTTTGTCAACTTTGACAGATCTTTGACATGTTTCCATCGCTCTTCAAGTGGACTGCGGACAGAAATGAAATACACAAAATATATTCTGCTAATAAGAAACAAAACCGTGCCATCTTCAGTCGCTTAAAAGAGAGTCTGAATTCCCAGATGTGCAGAGGCTTTGTGGATGCCTTTCTGGTTCGCAAACAAAATCTGGAGGTTGGACTTTCTATCATCTTTCAAGTTGGTGTTCTTGGATGTTTAACTGAAGCTCAGGGTGAAACTGTGCATGTTCCTGCCCAAAACTGTAGCTGTGTGTTCATAGAACTTTGAAATGTATCTGAAACCTCTGTTGATTTGCAACTAAACTAAGCTTTAGGATTAGAATGATTTGAGTGACTTTTCTGTTAAATGTCTATGTGCAGAAATCTGGGATTACCAAAAGTCACTTCCATGATGATAACCTTATGATGACAGTCATGAATCTGTTTGCTGCCGGCACTGAGACAACATCCTGGGATGAACCAATTGGATGAAAAGCTTCAGTGCTTCATGAAGCTTCATCTGCCCATCACTATTGGCAATGTCCGGGGGTCCCCTGAGAGTGGAGAAAGCACAAACATCAGGAAACACATAAAACAATTATGAACAGATGAAATTGCAGCAGCCCTGACTGACAAAGGTTTGCAGACGATCTGGCGAGGTGTGAGTCTGAGCGCTGGTCTTAAGAAGCCGGCAATTCCAATTACACTGAGGTGCAGCCTGTCAGCATGATGTGGCAGCTCCGCCCAGGGGTAGAAATGCCGACCCTGAGGGAAGGCCCAGCACTCACGCGGACCATTACAGAAATGAAGACTTATAGGGAACAACTATTCAGCATCCAAAAGTATAGTTCATTTTGACTGACATGACATAAGCAAATGATAATGTTGTCAATGGCAGAGAATTGTATGAAAGCCACTGATACATGTCCAAGAGCATTTGCAATTTGATCAGAGGAAGGAGAAATTGCTACTATGATGTGCAGAAATGACTAAATGTTGTGGAGTTTGCACTAATGGTTTTGAGAATTTTCATTCTGATCTGAGAAGAGCACCAAAGCGACTGAGAAAAACTGTAATTTTACCAAAATGATTGAGAAAGACTATAATTAAAGGGGTATAAAATAACTGGGTAAATAT